CCAGAGAGGCGAAGGTCCCTACAGCTCTGGAAGGAAGAAAGCAAGCAGTCAGGAGGAGGCTCACGCTGGGTGCTGAAGGATGAATAGGAGTTCGTCAGGCATTTCAGGCAAAGGGAACAGACTTGTGATAGCTGGGGGGTTCCAGAAACAGCTCAGTGCCTCCATGCACCTCCCTGAGGGCTCAGCCTGGGGACCACCAGTTTCCCTCCAGATGTCCTCGGACAGATGTTCCGCTAGATGGGGACTTCCGGGCTGTGATGCGGCCTCGCCCTCTACTTCCTTAGTCCCAAGTACCCAGGCAGCCAGCCAGGCCGTGGTGTGGGGCTCCGTCCTCCACCAGTCACCCTCCCCCTCCACTCGGAATCCCACCCCATCCTCTGCGAGGCCCCCACCTGTGCACCCACCACCCTCCTACCAATCCCAGCACACTGCTCCACCTGTAACCAGGGCAGCACAGGGCAGGGCTCTGCCACTCGCTGGCCATGTGCCCTTGGGCCACTTTCCCCTTCTGGAGCCTAGGGACACTGATGAGACTCCCAGAGGTCCTCATGACAGTTGGCTGTCCCCATGCACAGGGAGGCACAGGCTAAGCTGGCGGTGGTCTCCACGAGAGGGACAGGGCACAGACTTCAGACTGTCCTCTGAGCTCAGTTTTCTCAGCTGGACAGCAGGGTCGGGCCACCTGGCGGGGGGGCTTGGAGCGTCCACTCCACTGGACAAAGTCACGGCCACGCCTGGCAGCACACTCAGCCACGGGCTGGCACCCCAAGATGAAACCGTTCTCCCACGGAGGCTTCAGATCTGCAGCTCAGATTTGTAGGTGAGGGTAAAGGTAGGCACGGAGCCCGGGAAGGTGGGTGGAGGGGACAGCCCACACTGCTTTCTCATTCCCGCTCCACATTTTCTAAATTTAGCCGCTCCCTTATTTTAAAGTTGCAAGTGATGAACTCCCCAACACCTTGCACAGGATCGGAGTGAGCCTTTAAGGGTGCGCTTTGGAAGAAAGCATTAGGAAAAAGACAGATGAAGGCACGGAGTACACTTGCCATTGTTCCCAATAAAAGAACCTACAAAAGGGAGGGGCTGGCAGCCAGCTGGCACCCCCAGGGTGCGCAGTGGAGGAATCGGGTCCACGGAGGAAAGCACCAAGAAACAGCCCTTGTGGGGAGCCCTGGATGAGCCCCTACTCCAGGGGGATCAGAGCTTCGGCTGGCTCAAGGTGAGCAGCATAGAAAAGAAACCGACTTCTCAGACAGACGCGGGTGGTGTTTGCCCCAAGGGAAGTTGAGAGGGTAGTGATCTACAAGCCCTTTCCTCTGCATTTTCTCCCCTGCTTGTTCCTACAGGCCCACTTTACAGATGAGGAAACTGAGGCTCAGAGAAGCAGAGCGCCTACCAACATCCCAAGCAGAAGAGTGATGGGCTTGGGGCCCGAGTCGGTCTCCCGGCCCTAAACCCCACGGGGCTGCGGGCAGCCAGGGTGTGTGCTCAGCACACGAGAGGGGCCGGGCAGCTGCTGGACAGAGAGGTCATCCTACGGCCACACCAGCACTCACACCAAAGCCTGATTTAATATAGTCTGTAAACAACGCTCACATTTAAAAAGTGGTACAGGTGCCTGGATAGCTCAGTTAAGCGTCCCACTCTTGGTTTCGGCTCAGGTCATGACCTCATCGTCATGAGTTCGAGCCCCACGTCAGGTTCTGTGCTGGTATCGTGGAGCCTGCTTGGGATTCTCTTCCTTCTTCTCTCTGCCCCTCTCCTGCTCTCTCTCTCTCTCTCTCTCTCTCTCTGTCTCAACATAAATAAACATAAAAAAAAAAAAAAGTGGTAATAATAACATATCCCAGTGGGGAAAGCAATCAGAAAACTATGTGCTGAATTTCTCACTCAGAAAATACTCCACACAAGGAAGGCAGAGAAGCGCCCAGTTCAGGCTGCGCTGGGAAGCAGGACATCTGGGCTCCAGGATCCGGGGCTGGGCCGTGGGCAGTGGGGGTGGCACAGGCAGAGGAGAGGCGCTCTGGCAAAGCCAGGCCCCCCCTGCACCGCGGACAAGTATAGCCTTGCCTCGTGGCCTGCGTCCGGATTCACTCACCACTTGTTCATTTGACAGGTGCGTGCGGAGGACGGCCTGTTGAGGCTGGATCTGGGGAGACACACCCTTAGGAACTCGCCTGTAGTGGTCCCGCCACTCTCCCCTCCAGCCCGTAATGAGAGCTACGCCTGGCCAAGGACCCCTGGTCCCGGTGGGCGTGTGAGAGCCAACCAGGGTCCTTCCCTGACCCTTGTCAAGTGGGAACAGAGGCAGGAGGCAGCCTCTTGCCGGGGGCTTCTGCAAGGAGAGGGAAGCGGGCCCGGGCCGAGGCCCAGAGGGCTGGACCCAGCGGTCCTTGGCCTGCCGCGACGAGGTCTGAGAATGGGGCCAAACCGCACCCTCTGGTCTAAACTGGCTCCACACCTGCGTCAGGTGGTGGACGGATACTAACATTAATATTGTTGCTGATACTAAGATTCCCTGCTGCCATTTCCTGAGTGCCTCCTGCATAGAGGCCCCGCCAAGAGCTATCCAGACCCGGCCTCATTAATCCTCACAAGCTGGGTACTACCAATCTCATTTCACAGAAGGGGAAACTGAGGCACCGGGCGGCTCAGCACTTTCTGCAGCCACACAACGAAAGGCGATGGCAGGGTTTAAGCCTACATCCGTCTGACCCCAAAGCCTGTGTTCTGCCAACAGGCCACACCTGCAGTCATTCATAGAACGCCCACCGTGGACCGGGGCCAGGTGCGCAGCAGGGAGCAGGCAGCGAACCCCGTGAAGTTTACATTCCGCTGCACGTACCCGTGTTGTGGGGAAGGGGGGACAACAGCAGACAGAGCTAAGCACTCTGGGGAAAGGACCGAGAATGACTGGAGCATGTTAGACACAGAGGTCAGGGGAGGCTCCCTGGAGGCCCACAGCAGGAGAAAGGCAGGGATCCGGGGGGGCGCTGGGGGAAGTAGTGACCCAGCAGAGGGGACAGCGGGAGCAAAGGTCCTGAGGCGCCATGCCATGAGAGCACAGTGGAGGGTGTCATTAGCCCATCAGCGATGAGAGTGATACGGGAAGGCTTCATTTCACAGAGAAAGTGACCCGAGGGCAGGCTTCTAAGATCACTGGGCTTCCCACACTGAGCAGGGGAGCTTATTTAGAGGGTGGGCAGTGAGAAAGAGGGGGGGCGAGAGGCTCAGTGGGGCAGCCACATGAGGGGTGAGGGAGGACCGTCTATCACCTGCGTAAGGATCTGAATGGACGTAAGATCAGCCTCCGCTCCCCCCACTGCTCTGCTCAGGCCAGGGACAGCACCCCACAGGGGGTTCCACTTCTGCAGGGGACAGGCCCTCTGAGCATGGGCTGTGATTATCTTTCTTTTCACCAGATCAGCCATTCCTGAGCCTAAAAAGAGAAGGCGCTTCCAACCCGAGCCTGGGAGCAGACAGTCACTGGGACCCTGCGTCCTGCATGAGCTCGGGGGTTCATTCTTCACCACCCTGAAAGATCGTGAGCTCCCCAGCTCCTGCCGCCCCACTCTCAGCCCCAGCCTTCCCTGAATCCCAGCTCAGGCACAACAGGTGCTGTATCCGCTCAACACCCACTGCCTGCCGGGGGCTCTGCACTAAATGCGGCGCGGGGCAGTGGGGGCAGGGAGAAGGCTAGAAAAGGAGTCGGACCTCAGGATCAGCCCTACCTCAGGGCCTCTGCACTGTCCTTCCCTCCGCCTGGAAGGCCCGATTCATGGACCCCTGAGCAAGTTAGACACCTGAAATAAACCTATTTATGCACCAGCCCTCTGCAAGCTCCAGATGCCCTTCCCAATCTGCCCAGTCCCCTTCCAGGGAATGGAACCCCCAGTGTACGGACACCCACCACGGACGTGACCTCCTTGGGGCCACACAGCAAGCCTGCAGGCTGGGGGTTCCGACACCACTTTACAATGGGGAGACTGAGGCTCAGAGAGGAGAGATGACTCACGAAGCGTCGGCTACACCGACGGCAGAGCCGGCCTAGAAGCCGGGTGCTGGAGAGGCAAAGCTGGGCACCCGTGGTTCCTACTCCCTTGGCTCCCCGTCACGGGGCTCGTCCTCAGGGCCTCTGCCCTTCCTCACTGACTCCTCTGCTGGGGATGCCCTCCTCACCGGCTCACGGTCTGCCTCTGCCGGCAAGCCTTCTGAGGCACGGGGACGCCCCTGCCCCTGCCCCGAGCTGTGATATCTGCCGGTTCCCATCGTCACCCTCGGTGGATCCTGGGGCTCTTGGAGTGGCCTGTGGGATTTGGTGCTAGGGTTCCCCTACCTGCCTAGACCCCCAGGGCGCTGGCTCTTCCTGCCAGCCTGACCCCGCAGGGCTCCTCAGGAACCTCCCTCCTTCCCTGGAGCAGTATACACCCCCTCCAGGCAGTGGGACTCTGTGGGCCATGCTTGGGGTGGGGGTGGGGGGGGCCTGGGCCCCATGGCACTGATGAGGACTGCCGTGCTCCAGCACGGAGTTCCTGAGGGCAGGCCTGAGACCCAGAGCCCCCCGTGGCCCCCCACGGCCCCTGGCCCCCAGGGACTCCGTGGTCAGGATCAGCAGAGGGGGGCTGCCCTATCTCAAGCTTCCTCTGGTCTCTGTCTCAAGCCCCAGAGGGCCTGGGAGTGGGAAGGTGCCACGAAGCTGCCCGTACATATTGGTCACTGAAATACCCTAAGAAACAGCAAAACACTCATGTTTATTGAGCATCAGCAGCCACCCACCAGGTGCTTTCACCTAATGCAGTTCTCACAACCCTGAGGCAAACAGATCTCTGTCCCCATTTTACAGATGAGGAAACTGAGGCTCGGTGGGGGGGTGGAGGCCCCTTCTACCCAGCTCCGATCACAGAGGCGACCTCACTGGTTACTCACACCACCCCCACCCCTGGGGGACGAATGGGAGCCTGGGGCCTGGCCGGTATCCGGAAGGCTCTGCTCCAGGAGGCTCAGTGCCAGATCTTAATGTCGCCCTCCCAGGAGCAGGTGGCGAGGACAGAGGGCAGCACAGGGTGGAAGGTGGTACCAACGCAGGCCTGCGCGTGCCCTTGCAGCGTGCGCGCCCGGCTGGCAGTACGGAAGCTGTACAGCAGGACTCGGCCGTCGGCACTGCCCGTCACCAGCAGGTCACCGTCTGGGGAGCACTCGCAGCCCACTGAGTAGCCTTCTACCTGCAGAAGGCAACACGGGGTGAGCGGGCCACACGGCAGCTGCTCCGCCAGGCAGCCCGTGAGGCGGGGGGGCGCCGTGCCCACTCCGTGGAGGAGCAGCCTGAGGCTCGGAGCAGGGCACCCAGCATCCCCAAGGCCAAGGCCCGAGCTCCTGCCAGAAAGCCGGCGTCCCAGCGTGGATCTGGTCTCACGGAGTTTAGTGGAACGCAGCTAGAACAGCTTCAGCATAGCTGACGGTGCCTGGCCTCGCCAACAGCCACCAGGTCCCCGGCCCCGTCCGCCCCAGTGAGGCAGGCCTCAGTGGGGAAAGGGGATAGATGCAGAAAAGGCCCCCTCCCCTGTTCTGTCCTGTGCTCCCTCCCTCACCCCCGTGACATGCCCCCATTGAGCCCACAAGTCGGGGAAAATCATTCCTGCCCAGCCCCTGGGGACTGGGGGCAGGGCCAGATGTGACCCGGGCCTTTGGGGACCACCAGGCCACGTGGCACGTGGGCACCTGCGAAACGGAAAACAGAATCCTCCCAGAAAGAAGGTCTGTGCACTCCGGGGCCCCAAGTCCACCGCTGCTGTCGTCTGGAGGAGGCTCTGGGGCCGGTGCTCCGTTTTAACCCGGGGCAGAGGAACAGAGTACCTTGTGTCCTTCGTAGCGCCGCCTTCTGCTCATCCGGTAGGGCCACACGGCGGAAAAGAGGGCCAGGTAGTTGCCGTTGGTCTGTGCCAGGAACACGGGCTCCCGCGGATGCGAGGCGAGGCTGGGGCAGGTGTATCTCTCCTGAAAGACGTGAGGCCACAGGGAGGCAGGGAAAAGGCCCCAGCTGGGCCTTCTGCCTCGGCCAGACACATCACCCAGCGCCCTGCTCCTGGAGCCTTGGGCCCCACCCCCAGGCCTGGCCTTAGAGGTCTGCACGGCTTTCCTGCGGCTGCTTAACAAGATGCCACAAACTCGGTGGCTTAAAACTACACACATTTATTCTCTTAGAGTCCAGGAGGTCAGGCGTCTGCCATGGGTCTCCCTGGGCTAACATCAAGGTGTCAGCAGAGCCGTATTCCTTCTGGAGGCTCTGGGGGGGGGGGTAATCTGTTTTCCTGTCCTTACTGGCACCCCTTGGTTCACGGCCCTAGTGGTGGACGGAAAAATGACCCCCACACTCCCATCCACGTAGCGGATTCCTGGGACCGGTGAATGTCACCTTATATGGCAAAAGGGCGGAGGGGGTGTCTTTGCGGATATAATTAAGTCAAGCATCTTGAGGTGGGGATGTCGTCCTCTATTACCGCCCTAAGTGCACTCATGTGTGTCCTTGTAAAGGGAGGCGGCCAATCACACTCACAGATACAGTGGCAGGGGTCTGAAGAGGCCAGCGTGAGGAAGAGGGGGCAGACTCCCCCCGAGCCTCCAGAAGCAGTGCACCCTGACAAAACCTCGATTTCAGCCCAGGGAGAACGATCACAGACATCTGGCCTCCAGGACGGAGAGAGAGAACGTGTTCGTTTTGAAGCCAGCGACCGCGGTACTTTGCCACGTAGCGCCAGGAAAGAAGTCCGCACGCCCGCCTGCCCCCGCCCCACCTCCACGGTGAGCTCTCGGGGAAGCCCCAGCCCGGCCCAGGCCCCCCTCACAGCCCACACGCACAGTAGCTGGGAAGGTGGACGGCCGGGGAGAAGACAAAGGCGTGAGCCAAGTGTTCAAAGCACAAGGCAAGGAGCTGTCACCGTCTGATGGGCTGCATCACATGGAAACGCCCCTAGCAACTCCCTTCTCCACGGCATCTGGCCTTTGCTTTATTCCAAGTGTTGTCCTGAGGCCACACTGTCTACAGGAGCCTACCTCAGAGAGCAAAGCGGGGGCAGCTGGAACACAGCTGCACACTCTGTGTCCCTCAGAGGCTCAGAGGCCACGCTGACCCGGGAACAAGTTCCATGGCATGCTCTGCGAGCACAGCACCTGCTCCCCACGCAGAAAGTGAGTGGGTGCAGTCTGTAGGAGGGTCAGTGGCCTGCCATGTGGCACTCCCATCCACCTCCCCTGGGTGCCTGTTCTGCACGGGCTGTTGGACGTGGAAGGCCAGAGTGGCCAGACACGCCCACGCAGCCCCCTCCCGGAGCTGGTGCTTCTCCCCGGGTTGCACCAGGACCCTGCAGTGAAGGTCTGGAGGCTGGTGTGCGCAGGGTCACTTAGAACCCTCTGAGAAGAGGAAATGCGGGGATGGGGGGAAGGTACGTATGTACGCCTAACACATATTTTTTAATTTGGCAGGGGGAGCACCGAAGAGATTAGCTACGGCTTATTTGAAGTCTTAAAAGGTGATGGTGATCGTAATGGCGATGATGGTGGTGATGGTGGTGGTGGTGGTGGTGGTGGTGATGATGATGATGATGGTGATGAATGTGATGGTGATGAGGGTGCTGATGGTGATGGTGATGATGATGATGATGGTGATGATGGTGATGAATGTGATGCTGATGAGGGTGGTGATGGTGACGGTGATGATGATGATGGTGATGGTGGGGATGATAGTGGTGGTGATGAGGGTGGTGATGGCGATGGTGACGATGTTAATGACGATGGTGGTGATAGTGACAATAGGTAACGCGTTTATGGAGCACCTCCTGGGTCTGGCACTGTGCTAGATCCTTTATAAGTGTTATTTCCTTCAATTCTCAAAACCACTCTATGAGGTAAATATATTCTCATCCTCAATTTCCTAAGAGGAAAACAAGAATCAAAAAGGCTAAACAATGGGCCCAGGGTCCCCGGCTTGTGAGTGGTGAATCCAGGACTTTAACACCAGATCTAGCCTCAGGTCGCGGCTTGAACTTCCAAGTCACAGTTCCTGCCCAAAGCACTGAACAAAGGTGGGGCGGAAACCCGTGTGGGCTGGATGGGGTGGTGGAGGGAAGGCAGGAGCGCGTGGGCCGTGTGGCTGTCCTCCATCGATCCGGACGGGGGGGCCCCTCCACACCCTTCCCCTGTGGGGTGGCCATGCCAGGCAAGGGACACGTAGGAGAAGTATGGAGGTTTTCTGCACTCGTCTACCCCCACCCCAGGGATTTCAGGCACCTGGACGATCTCTAAAGAGCCTGCCTGCTGAACCATCTCCCACAGGAAGTGATCTGGGATCCCAGACAGCCTAGGGCTACTTAGACACAGCCTACAGCTGAAGCAAACTGAAGAGCAATGCCACATAAGGTTTCTCACGTGGAAAATCTGGTTGGAGATTTTGGCAGAGCTCCGGAAATCCCAGGCAATAATGGTGCGGTCAGCAGAGTCCCGGCTCGAAGCGTCCGTGCTGCTCAGAAACTCAGAGCCTTCCTGGAGGAAGAGGATGTCCAAGGTCTGCTGGATGGTTGCCTTGTAGCTTCTCACCACCTGCAAGAGATGCATCTGTCATGCTGTGGGCCCCACGAGTACAGGGCGAGCACCCACGGGGAGGGCCACCAAGAGCCCAGGCAGCAGATGGGGTTTAGCGAGGGCCGTGCCGGGCTGCTAGGACATACCTCCCGCAGCCTGGCTTCGTGGCCCCTCCCCACAGACGGTCCTCCCTGTCACGTGCCTGCCCCACATCTATTGGCGCACGGCCACCAACCATGAGCTACCCAGGGAGGCATGATGACCTCTCAGACCACACCAGTCCCGGGGACAGCAGCTAGTGCCTGATGAAAGTGAGCTCAGGGAAGGGCCCATCGCCCAAGGGCACCTAAAGGGCATCAATGATTGCCCACTGATACCAGGCCACATGTTACGAGAGTGTCTTGCTTCTTCTTCTCCTTCTTTTTCTTTTTTTTTTAATGTTTATTTATTTTTGAGACAGAGAAAGAGCATGAGTCAGGGAGGGGCCGAGAGAGAGAGAAGGAGACACAGAAGCAGGCTCCAGGCTTTGAGCTGTCAGCACAGAGCCCGACGCGGGACTCAAACCCCCATGAATGGTGAGATCATGACCTGAGCCGAAGTTGGACGCTTAACTGACTGAGCCAACTAGGAGCCTAGCAACTGAGGGTGTTGCTTCTAAAGACGTCACATAATTCACAGCCCACAAAACCACAGCCTATTCTCTCTGGAGTAGTAACTGTATTGCAAAGAGCCAGAGCTCTTGGAGACCGTAAGGCAGAACCACAGTACATATATTAGCTTTAAAGACACTTTTTACTTCCTAGCATCATGGCCAATAGTTCATAGCCTCCTGTCTTGTAAACCAATGCGATCGAGTACCCAGCGGTTCTGTTTTCCCCAGAGCATTTGATCACACTCACTTTCCATTCTAAAGCAACTGGTTCGGGTTAGGGGCAGGTCCCAGTATCGGGACTAACAAGTGTCTCCACTTAACAAACTCCCAGACCTCAGGACTTTCAATTGCAATACTCAGCAAGAGGCCAATACAACGCGGCCTCAGGCCTTCCTGGCCGGCCTGTTTACCAGCTACCTGGGCGCCACCATGTGGCCACAGCATACACACGGTTCTCTGGTCCCTCTGTCTGCTGGCTGTGAAATAAGAAGTCTCGACAATTTTTTCTTTAAAGTGGCATTTACCACCTTCAAAGTATTATCGTCCTCTTTCAAATGTACATAAGTCAAATCCACGTCACGTGTAGCATTCTATAAAGTCAACTTAGGCAGTTCTGAGACCCATTCTCCAGATGAGGAACACTGAGGCTCAGAGATGCAGGGATTTGCTCCAAGTCCCACCGTCAGCGGGGCGGGCTTCTCCCTGTCCCTGCTGCTTCCCTTGGGCCCACAATCCAATCTCCTACTGGCCACTTCTTACCTCCATAAATTAGGGAACAGCTTCCTGGGGGAGGGGAGGGACAAATGGCTGTTCTCTGAGCTTCTTCAGAAGCAACTCCCAGGTAAGGCGACCGCAGGGTAAGCCCCTTGAAGCCCGCAAAGTGGCACGGACACAGAAAAGAGAAGGCGGCCCTGCAGACCTCTGGACACAAGGCAGAAAGGCAGCCCATGGCCACTCCCCAGCCCTGAGCCTCCCAGAGGGGAGGGAGTCTCCTTGCCCCTAGCCAGAGGGGCTCAGCAGGGGTGCTGCCAGATGCTCCTCCACCCAGTCTGAGGCTGGGGCCCGCGTGCCCTCGAAGTCTCCAGTATCCAATCGTGTCAGTCTGCACAGCATCCGGACTCACAACAGCACCACCCCAAGGCCACGTTTAGAATCCACTTTGGTGGGGAAGAGAGGGGAGGGGAGGGGAGGGAGTGGTGCCCCATAATCACAGCTCTGGAGCCGTCTCTTCGCCAGCTCCTCCCACCCCAGTGCCATGACAGTCACCCCTCACTTCGACACCCTCCCCACCAGCCACCCCAGGCCTCTATCTGCCTCGGCCGCATCAGTCCTCAACGCCCTCCTTCCCCTTTTCCCAAAGCCCTCTCCATCCCCACCATTCGGGGGGGGGGGAGCAGCAAATCCAGAGATGGCCGGGGCAGTAAATGCCAACGGAAGAGTATGTCTGGCCCGACTCATGTCCCTGGAAGTGGCCCGTGCCCTGGGCAGCCTGTCCTCTCTGGGGGCACGGAGTGGCCAACACAGAATGGCCACCGGAGAGCACCCACAGACGCCGGGCGGGTCCCAGCTCCCGGGCAGGGCCGTGAGCTCCTGTGGGCGGTTCTGGCCTTCTCGCTGCAGCCCCCCTCCAGCCACCGCACGGTGACCCCCACAGGGGCTCGGGAAACACACTGACCCAGGCAAGGACGGAGGAAGGAGAGGGCTCTCCCTGAGTGCCCAGGAAGCGGCGCTGGCCCGGGGTTCCACACAAATTACCTCATGGGGACAGCCGGAGGGTGACACGGAGGCCCGGGAGGAGCAAGGTGCCGGCCCTCGGCTTGTGCGCGCCACACCTGCCTCCCAAGACGAGCTTTCCAGAAGAATGGAAACCACCATTCTGCACGTTTCCTGAGAATGGATGCAAATGGCCCGATTCGTCGGGGCGCCATAAAACTGAGTGGCCGGGAAACAAGCCTGTGACGGGCGATCCCTGCCAGGAACGCTGCTTAAGTAGGAGGCTGACCTTTGAAGCGGTCGCCGCCGAACATGATCTACTCGCCTTCACAACGGCTCCTGCCCCGGCAAAGAACAGAGGAACCATCTGTGTGTCTAGCTGGTGGGTTTTATGGCGACCTCAATTACACTGACAGCTGGGACATCCCATCCCAGGGGCGTGGGACGGCGCCACGCAGCCCTCGCCGGCAGGATCCGGAAGGGAGCCCCGCCCGGACTCTTCTGGCAACCTGGGGCCTCTGCCAGGTAAGCCGATACTGGGCCGAAGGTTTCTGGCGCCGGGGCAGGTGGCAGACGTGATCCACACCATGGCAGACTCGGGCAAGATGAAAATCACCGGACATCCCTGAAATCCCACGACTGCCTGGTCCTCCGGACAGACCTGGGAAACTCCGGGCTGACTCTGGTTCATCCAAAGCACAGATTTCCCTGCCTCGCATCCCTGCCACTTCCCAAGTATGTGGGGTTGGGGCGCAGGCTAGGCTCGGGTCCTGGCCTTTTGGTCGTCACCACGGGAGGCCTGGACGACAGGGGCGAACCTCTGCCTCTGAGCGCTGCTGGACCTCAGAGCGACGGAAGACTGGGGTGTACTGGCCCCCTGACCCCTCCCACCACTCCCCTGCACCCAAACCTGAGAAAACGCAAGGGGAGACACTGCTCTGGCTCCCGCGGGACGCCGTGCTCCCTCAGCCACCCGCCTGCCCCACAGGACCGTGTATCTGTGACACTGGGTCGCCTTTGGGCAGTGCGGGGTCTGCGGGCTGCGGACATTACTCAGGTGTGTTGGATTAACCACCGGATTTGTGAACAAAAGGAAAGTTCAAAAAGTAGGCACACTGAGGTCTCCGGCTCCCAGCAATATCCCGGCACTTGGGGAGGAGCCAGCACACGTGAGGCCGCCGCCACTGGCCCCGTCAGGCACCATTCACAGGGTCCGCCTGAGGCCCTGGACGTGGGAGACGAAGGAGACCTGACTCCCTGGGAACTCTGAGACGGTGGTGGGGGTGGGAGGCAGAAGCAGAGCGCTGTGCTCAATGCCGCATCATCGCTGGCCCCGTGGAGGCCGACAGAGGCCTCCCTCCTCAGTGAGAGGGCCCCAGGTCCCCGGCGGCCACCTCGGTGTCCAGCCCGATGGCCTGTTGCTGACTCTGAGGTCCCGGGCAAACCCCACCCCTCTGCTTCAGCCTCCACACCTATAAGTGGGGGACAACCGGGCCGCAGCCTGGGAGCAAACAAGAGCTGTGACCGTGCCCGGCTCAGGGGCCAATGCGCACCAGAAGCTCACAAACCATCTCTTCCAGAGCCTCACAAACCTCCTCCAGGGCCGGCTAGAACCAGAGTCCCAGCATGGAGCTCTGGGTCCTTGCTTAAGTTCCTTCTCCCCACAGTTCCATTCCTTCTCCCTGAAAATAAACATCCGGGTCTCTGCAAATGCTAAGAAGTCAGGAGTCTCTGCATGAAGGCAAGCTGGAGAGGTGAGCAAAGGGCCTGTTTCTATAGCTTAAATTCACACAAATAGCCAATCACAAGGCACAGTGTGCACCAAAAGTACTCTGCTGATAAGTTCACGAAGGACCAGAAATCTACATTTTAAAAAAATAGAAAAGAAGACATGATTAAGTTTTTCTATTCCCCCCGGGGCTGGGGGAATCGCTCCCAAGTCATGACTCTGAGGCCAGAAGCAATGAGAAAAACATGAGTTAACCTGGCTACATGAAAATCATCATAATAATTTTAAGAACTATTGTACGGCATGAAAAGCAAGTAAATAAAAAAGTAAAAAAGACAATCAGGAGGAAAATTTGCAACTTGTCTCAGAGGCAAAGGTTACTATCCCTAATACACAGGTTCTCAAAACAGATGAGAAAGACCCAGCACATCTACAAAAAAAGGCAAGAAAAGTGAACAGAGAATTCATATAAAAGGAAACGCAATTGGTCCTTTGATCTTGCTCATAATGAGACATGCAAATTCAAATCACACAGAGATACCATTTCTTACCTATCAAATTACCAAAGTCCCAGTTTGACAACACACTCCATTAGGTGGCTGTGGGGCATGAGCTAACTGCACACACTGCTGACAGAAACACAAAACGCTACAATCCCTGCGGAGAGAACTGGGGCAACGTCGAGCAAAATAACATATGCCTTGTTTCTCAGCAACGTGCATGACCCAGCAAACCAACTTGTAGGAACGGTCCCAAAGGTACACTGGCAAAACCCCACAAAGGTGTAAGTACGCCGCCGCTGAAAGCAGCAATACTTCTACAAACGACGCAAATGTACGGCCACAGAGGATCAGCTGAGTAACCCTTGGCGCATCCACACTCCAGAATGCCACGGGCTGGAGACAGTGCAGCCTGTCCACCTGC